TACCTTGCCTACATGATGACCGTGAAAGCTGAGCTCTGCTGAGGGAAAACCTTAGAAGGCCTTGGCTGTTTTAAATGACGACTGTTGAACACCAAATCGACTGACGATTTCATTGCGAACATTGAAGTGAGCAGACTCGCAGGGTTACCTCATTTGCAAGCCGACGTCTCCGCAATAACAGCTTGTTGCGCAACATCTGCGAAAAGATGAGCCGGCTCATAGAAGGTTAAGGCTTTCACGCACGGAGTTAAGACCTCAACCGAAACGATCCCCGACCATGAAACGATATACCTCGTTGCAGCAGCTGTCCGTTCGCCTGATTGGTACGGTCAAGGATCACCTCGCTGTCTATAGGTTGATTTTCCCTTTACGGATGCATGGCCATATGCTTTCGTCCCGCCTTCCTTTCTCCCGTGATGTTTCACTCGTTTTTCTCTTAATCTTCTTAAGGATAAAGTACGAACAACTTAAATGAATGATTTCAGCCAGGATTTAAACCCTTGAACTTTCGGTGTCATTTCGAAGCTCAACCGATGTGAAGATATCAGGTCAGTGACCACTGTCAGTCCGTCAAGTCAGCGAATCGCTTGTAAAGCTGCTTCGTATCAGTCAACTATCTTGCATGACGGACATCTTTAATTTACAGAAGGCGGAGCTGCCACGTTTACTGTATCCCAGATGACGACGATAAACCGCAACATTATCGAAATCTGCATTACGCCTTGTGTTGATTATTACACTGGATAATCAGCTGTAAGGTTGTTGAAGGTGGTGTGTAGACACAAGGGGCTCTCGCATCGGACAGCACTGTCGCATGGTTTGTCGATTCTATGATGACCATATGAGAATACCATGCTGTCTATCTTACTTCCAAGTCATCGACTCATTATCCGTCTGTTGGCTGGTTCGGCTATAGAGGGAATCTGCGGTTTAAGCGAAAATAATTCCCTTGAGCGGATTCTGACCCTGAACATCCGACATTCAAATCCGACCTCTTTCACATTTATTGCGACCACGCCTTCAGGTAGATGCCCCCTCCTCTCCCCCAAACACTATGAGGCAAATTCTGGCAAACTGTGGGCTCTGTAAGCGGTTTTTTACTTTACAATATTATCTTGCGGCACAACTGCGAAAAGTCATTACCACAAATCGCAAAGCAGTCGCTGTGTATAATGTATTTTTGAAGAATTAAAAGTAATGCTGTTGCAAATTGCAAAATAAACGGACACGCTCAAGCAATCGGATTCAGCAGGATACTCGTTTTGTGAGCATTGCTGGTTCTGCGAATTTTGTGAACATGGAAACCGACAACAGTCGTTCCTAAGTGACCAGTTTGTGACTAGTTGCAAATACCAAGGCATATAATTTGTTACCTATGAACAATAGAAAGAGTTAAGCGGGTCTTAAGTAAAGGCATTATGTAAATTTGTGCCGAAAACACAGAGTGGTTTGTGCAAACACAATTAATGAAATCAAGAAACATTATGAACGGTTATACACTTAATGCAAATATATGCAACATGACCAGAGTCTGAGCAGAAGAAGTAAGCAGTCTTCAATCGAATTTTAAATCTTACTTTTAATTAATTAAGTAAATTTAAAGGCGGCCTTTGTTTACAAATCGACAAGGCAAATGATTAAGGATCAAAACGGGACAAAGCCACAGCTCGAGTATGCTGAATACGTGCCACCGTTGTGTCTCAATCACTTTCGATGACCGCTTAGCCTTTCAGGACCAGGAAGCAGACACGTCAGAAGATTACTGAGATCAGGAGTAAAGTCCTTCCAGCTACTTGTGCCATAGGTATTTGGCGGACCGATAGAGAAAGGTAGTAGTTGCTTCGCCTTCCTTCTCGAAAGCATTCAGAACATGTGTCCAAACCACCGCGTCTGAAGAAGCTGCGGTTCCCAACCTACGCTTTCTCCGAAGGTTATCGGCCATTGTTGTACCTGAGAATCAAAGTCGAAATATATGCCAGATCGCTGACAAACCGGAACACCATTGAACGAACTTCGTGAAGCTCTTCGCCCCACACAACGCAAAACGAATTGCAAAAACGGATGAGCGGAATTTTGTAGGAAGCGTGGACAACTGTTGGAGCGATGAAACGCTACGCACCCAGGACATACAAAAGTCTAATAATATATAATACTAATCTGGCTTAAGGTGATAAAAAACTAATAAAGTTGACCGTCGCTATAATGCGCGTTATGCCTGCATATCACAGATTAAGGTCACCTGTACGAAAATTAACGTGCAATGATATCTTTCATCCACACCGTGAAATGGTAGTTTTTAGCCAGTGGCATAATGGTTATATTATAAAATTTGGGTCGCTCACATTACGGTAATCACGTGAATCAAACTAAAGAATGATAATTCACCATTTATTTTTGGAACAAAGCTCTCTAGGAGAAAATCAGCAGTCTGACAACAAAATTGGAAACCTGCGGCAAGGTCCTCCTCGTGGTGTCTGTCACTTGAGTGGACGATGGCGACTCCTGAAGGTGGAGATCAAAGAAGAAGTGTCAAGCGACAATCTACGGACGATTACTGGATGTAAAGTAAAATTAATATCCTTCAATCTACAAATGGCTCACACGAAACCGCAAAAATAATGGCGGCCAACTTCATGACGTCCGCCCGCTGAATGTACAACAGTTTAGACACAGGGGCCAGACAGAACGGCTAAGGAAACGAGGGAAGAGTGGATGACGATTACACGGAGAGACGCATCGTTCAAGCCACCTTGGTTGCACAAGGCCGAGAAACGTGACACTTCACTCGGTGATATCTGCGCTGGAACAGGCAATGACGACTTGTCGGGTTAGAGATCAGACGAATGG